GCTTTCAAAGGAAATCAATATTGATTCCTTAGACACATATTCTCAATTTTGTTTTTCTGTTGTTTTTGTTTTTGAGACAGGGTTTCAGTATGCAGTCCAGGCTGGCCTCTAACTCCAGATCTTTTTGCTTTAGCCTTCTGAGTGTTGAGATTACTGGAGTACATCACCATGCACGGTTTACAATATGTTTTGCAAATGTCTTCTGTGGCTTTTTTCTTTCATTTATGGCACAAAATCTTCCTCTTTATTATGTCATGCTAATCTAAAATAGCTACTTTGCTGCCATTTTTTAACTGGTCCTGGAGCTTTGAACTTTGGGCCTGGCACTTTGCTGAGCTTTTGTAGTCACTCAAAGCTAACACTCTACTACTTGAGCCACAGCTCCACTTTTAGCTTTCTGTATTGAATTGGAAATAAAAGTCTCAGGGACTTTCTGCTTGGGCTGGCTTTGAATCGCAATCCTCAGATCTCAGCTTCCTGAGTAGCTAGGATTACAATCCTGATCCACCAGTGCCTGGATTTGCTCTCGTCTTTGAATTTCACAAAACAGAAACATTGTTCATTAATATGTGGTTTTCTTTTAATATATATAATATATGTGTGTGTGTGTGTGTGTGTGTGTGTGTGTGTGTGTGTGTGTGTGTGTGTTGGTTGTAAATTTTCTTCTTGGTTCTTCTTCACTATATGCCACAATATATGTAGTTTTCATTATTGTTCAGTTCAAAATATTTTCTGATTTTTATTATGTTTTTGACCCACAAGTGTTTAGAAAAGTTGACTTGTAATTTCTAAAAATGTTTGGGCTCTTCTACTTACATTAATTCTGGGAAACACTGATCATTATATTATTTCAACTTTGAAATATTTTGAGAGTTCTTTTAATTCTTAAAACAGAGACACTGCTAAGCATTGGCTTTATTATTGGTATATCTGGTCAAGATTTTTCTTTTACAATGGTCTATTTGTACTTCTAAACAATGTATGGTATGTCATTGTTAGCTAAAAACAATATACCAAGTTTGTCAATCATTTTGTTAAAATCTTTCATGTTTTTTACTGACTTTTCCGAAATTTCTTAATGATTCAGGAGTTTTCAAACTCCTGCTCCAATTGCAGATTTATTCCTACTCATTGCCCTTATTATGTAGTTGTAATGTTTTAGTGCATGTGAAAGAATGTAAATTCTTTTATATTTGGTACTGTATATTTCTTGTTTTGTTAACTGAATAGATATAAAATGAAACTTCATTGTGATGAAGATTTCTATTGCCTTGATTTTTTTTTTTTGGTGCTTGTCATGAAGCTTAAACTCATTGTCTAGGTGCTATTTCTTGAGCTTTCTTGCTCAAAGCTAGCACTCTACTGTGTAAACCACAGCCCACTTTCCAGCTTTTTGGTGATTAACAGGAGAAAAAAAGTCTCATGGACTTTTCTGCCCATGTTGGCTTTAAATCTTGATCTTCAGATTTCAGCCTCCTAGTAGTAGCTAGAATTATAGGTGTGAGTGAGCCACCGGTAGGTGCTCAGCTACATTTCCTTGATTTTTCACGTTCTTGTCATTTCTGAATGCTTGTTAGTTTTATGTGTTTAACTTACCATAAATTGCCTACTTATCTCTTTGTCAGTTTTTTAAATTGCATTTATTCCAGTCCAAGAGGAAATGCTATCTTTATGTGAGCAACTTTTTGTGTTTGTGTGCTGATTCTGGGGCTTGAACTCAGGGCCTGAGTGCTGTTCCTTAACATTTTATCATAGGCTGTGTACTGTCACTTGAGCCACAGCTCCATTTCTGGCTTTTTAATGGTTAATTGAAGATAAGAGTATCACAGACTTTTCTGTCCCGGGTGGCTTTGAACTATGATCTTTAGATCTCAGCCTCCTAAGTAGTTTATGATTACAGTGATGAGTCACCACACCAGCACCCAGCTTGGAACTTCTTTTTAAAAAGAAAAAGACATAATGGAAGGATTTACTGTAAACCTGAAATTTGTTCAGTTTACATTTAGCATCAGATTATATACCCTTGCCAACTTGATTTAGTGTGCACAATTTTTTCTCACTTCAGGTTTTGACTTCTCACTTTTTCTAGTCATCCTTGGGAGACTAACAGTTCTTTATTTTAATGCAGCCAAATTTATCAATATATTTTTTGTGGTGACTTTTTGTGTGCCATGTTAAATTTTTTCCCGGTTCCAAATAAGAAAGACACTCATCTGGTTTTTTGTTTGTTTGTTTATTTAAGTGTCTTAAAGTTGTGGTTGTTTTTAGTCCTTGTGAAGCTTGTTTTAAAGTATGTTATCCTAGTAGACAACACTTTTATTGTTTTCCTAGATACTTATCATAAACATTTATTCTTTTCCTGTTTATTAAAATTGTCCTTCCATTCCGCACTAACTTGCAATGGGGCTACAGTCTCATATGAAAGTTTGCTGAATTTCTTAAGTAGTTGTTGGCTATTCAATTCTATTCTGTTGGCTAAGTTTTCTATCCAATTTTATGGATCATCCCATCTTTATGACTATACTTTGTACTCATTCCAAGTAGGAAAAGACTACTTTCTTTCTCAGAAGTATCTTGATAAAGTTTTATTACTCCTTTATTTTGAAGGAACTTCTATTTGGTGGAATCCTTGTTAGGTTTCAACAAAAAATAAAGGGGTTAAAGTTTTTTTTTTCTTTTTTTGTCGCTTGTGGGGCCTGAACTCTGGGCCTGGGTGCTGTCCCTGCACTCTTTAGCTCTGTAGCTTATGTGGTGCTGAGGAATCAAGCCCAGGGCCTCATGCATACAAAGCAAACACTCTACCATTGAGCCAGCCTGGAAGGGTTAAGATTTTTAACTGTGGTTACATTCTATTTATAAATCAACTTTTGGACAACTGACAACTTTGAATATTAAATATAACAGTCCACGAACTCTGGATATATCTCCCTTTATTTAGGTTCATCCCTCTTCCTCCTTTTCCCCTTCTGCCTCCTCTTCTTTGGTGCTGGTACTAGGGCTAGAACTCAAGGCCTCAAAGTCTTGCTTGCCTTTTTTTTGCTCAAGCTGGCACTCTATCACTTCAACCACACCTCTACTTCTGGCTTTCTGCTTATTAATTGGAGATGAATCTTACTTTTCTGCCTGGGCTGGCTTTGAACTGTGATCCTCAGATAGCATCTTCCTAAGTAGCTAGGGTTATAGGCATGACCCACTGGTGCCTGGCTATTGTTTTATTTTTTGTTGTTGTTTTGTTTTTTAGTGTCTTTCAGGAGAATAGTCTCAATCTTTATGCTCTAATCTTGTCTGGTTTTGTTTGCTTGTTTAGATTTATTCCAGCTATTTAGTAATTTCCTTTCTTTTTTTTCCTCCAGTACTGGATTGAACCAAGGCCTCCTGCTCCAGGAAAGTACTCTAGAATTGCATCTCTTGCCTTTCCTTTCCTGGACAAATAACTTCTAGAAGAGAAGACAGCAACATGTGCCCATTGTGTACCACCATTCCCACACTCTCTACTTCAGGTCCTGCTAAAGTCCTAGGGAAGTTTCCTCTTCTCCTGGGCTCTGCAGACTAGAGCACACCTGTTTACTTCTGAGAACAAAAATCATCAGAGACTGGGTTGGATTTTGGTGCTATCTATAACGTAGTATGTATGTATATTTGTATTTAGCTAAACTTATGGACAAAAGTCGGCCACAGTTTGCCTCAAATATATAACTGAGATAATATTAGTTTTTCTCTCATAAATATTAAAGTAATTTCCTGGTACTTAAAAACCACCCCATCAGCATTAATTATAATTATTAAGGGATCTGCTGGATCAGATCTCCCTGAGATGCTGTTAACGACCTGTCAAAGATCGGGGCTGACATCAGGAGTGCCAGGCTGCAGTATCCTCTGAGCCTGTGTGGGTTTGTACTGTTTCATCCAGGAGCCTGTGAGTGATCTCAGAACCAAGGTTTCTCAGATGGCCAAGAGAGGGGCCTAGGGACAGACAAACGATCATCAAACATGTCACCGTGATCACAGATGCTGAAGCAGAGGACAGGCACGAGTGAAACCGGAGAAAAGGCGTGCTATTGTTCCACATCCACACTGCAGAAGCGAAGGAGTTTCTAGTCACACCCATACCTTCTCCTGGGCCTGGCTAGAAGCCAGGAATCAGAAACACACTAGGGTCCCACAACAGAACCTCTTCTGGGAGGTTCAGAAAGCAAGACCACCACACAAGCCATCACTAGCTCAGGGAGGAAGAAATGTAATATATTTTCATGGGCTTGGGGTCAAGCATCTTGTCTACCTCCCTCCCCTCTACTCTTTCCCAGGTGCAGTAGTAAGTGGTGCTCAATATTTATACACAAGCAGGAGCGGAAAGGAGGAACCCGCAAGGTAAGTAAAAGACCCCTCCCCAGAACCCCTCCACCGTGGGTCCCCGAATCATCAGGGAGTCTCCAAGAAGGGCTTCTCCCTGGCTGTCACAACACTTTCAAGGAACCTCCATAATCTGGTTGCGGAAGCACCCGGCGTCCACCAGGGGTGCTGGGGTGGAGAGAGACAGGGAGATAGGTTTCATGCCTGGTCATCTGGATCCATGACTTGCTCCTAATCCAGAAGTGGCGGGCGATAGGAGGCCGAGGCGAGGGGGGGGAGAGGCCGAGTCTCCCTCGGGGGTCGGGGAGGGGTGAGGGTGGGGGGTTCCCCTGCCAGGCGCGGGCAGGGGCGCGCGCGGCGCGGGCCGGGCCGGGCCGGGGCGCGGGCGCGCGGGTGCGCGGTGCCGCCGGGCCCCCGGGCGGGCGGCGCTCCTGCAGAGGGAGCTGTGCGCCCGATCCGGCGCCCGCGCGGCGCCTCCTCTCCCTCTTGCCGCCGCTTGGGCCCGCCCGCCGGGGAGGGGCTCCCGGCCTGGTCCGCAGCTTCTTCCTGCTTGGCGCACATCCTCGCGCCGCGCCGCGCACCGCCGTGCCGCGAGTCCGCCCGCCCGCCCGCCCGCGCCCTGGGCCCGCCAGCCCCTCTCCGCCCCCGGAGCCCTCGCTTCCCCCCCTCCCCTCCTCATCACAGCCCCGACCCGTCCCCGGCCATGCTGTCCTTCCAGTACCCCGACGTGTACCGCGACGAGAGCGCCGTGAGTACCCCTGCCGCGCCCACCCGCCTCCCCGCTGCCCTGCAGCCCGGGCCCCCGCAGCCCCTCGCCCCTCGCCCCCGGCGGCCTCCCCCCTCTTCCTCCTCGTCGTCCTCCGGGTCCCAGCTCGGCCTTTGTTCGCCAGGAACGGGCCGGGGGGGGGGGCGAGGAGGCGGGGGTGGGGGGGGACCCGGCTTGGAGGTCACGGTCCGCGTGCGGGCGCAGTCGGAGTTGCGGGGTCCTTCCTCCGATCCGTGGGGTCCGGGGGCGCCGTGGCGGGCTGGGAGACCCCCGGTGGCTCGGCTGCTTTTTATTTTAAACGGGTGAAGCCTCTTCCCTTAAATATGGTGGGAGGAGAAAGTGCACGCGGGTGGGGTGTACGTGGGAAATCGAGTGCGATTCCACACGCAGAGGGGAAACTTTGGAAACTTCGGCATCTGGAAGTGCAGGAGAGAGTTCATTCATTCTGGGTGAAGCCGGCCCTGCGGTGGGCCGCGCTGCTGCTGCTGCTGCTGGGCCGTGGCTGCTGGGGGCGGGGAGGGGAGAGGGGGACCCGGGGGGGGGGGTGGCGGAGTTCGAGACTAAGTCGTGGGGAAGGGGTTCGCCGTGTCCACCTTGAGGGGGCTTGGCGGGCTGAGAGAGGCCGGGAGAGGGACTGGATGCGTGGCCTTGTGCGGAGTAGGTTTTGCCTAGCAGGAGTTAACCACCTAAGCTGTTGGAGGAACTCAGGATAGCTACTCAGACCCAGTCAGTGAAGTTCTGAGCAAATACACTCAGTCTCTCTCTCCTCCCTCCCCCTCTCTCTGTGGTTGGCATTTTAAGAGCTGGATCGAATCCAAATGTTATGGTCATGATTCCTGTACTAGTAGCCAAAATTAACCAGATCACTTAAAATGGAATCACAGTACAAGTATTTTTGCATAATGTAGTTGCAGTATGTTTCCTGTTTCCTTTGACCCAATTTAGGGCCAGTACCCCTGCACACTCTTGAGATGCTTCTCACCTGGGGGTAAAAGGTTAGAGGTGTTTTAAGTGAAGATTTCCTAGTGCCTGTAATGCATTCATGGTTTCTTTGGCCCATTGACCGTCTGGTAACCATGTTTGTCAGATTATTCAGTTGCTTCCTTATTAAATTCAACCCCCCAAATAGCCTAGGAAGCTCTCTTGCTAAGGTGGAAGGGTCGCTCCCTTTGTGTGGGAGACTAGCGTGACCTTGCTGTTCAGTGAGACCTTGAATACTAGTTCTGGTTTGGTTACTCAGAGCTAGTGACTTTGGGGAGATCTTTTAGCTGTTATTGGCCCTTTTTCTCATAGATGGTCTATTAGTACTCACCATAGGGCTGATTTGTTTCTATAGGAAGACTTGTCATTCATTTTTATGGCAGCCTTGCTGTGTGTGCCAGATGGGAAAACCTGAAACGGTCTTGGCTCTGCTTCTCCAAGATCTCGAGGATCTTGGAGTTTTGTTTTTTTTAATTGTTTTTAGGTTTATATTTATAACCCGGTTTGAACTCAGGACTTAAGACTTGCTTAGCTTCAAAGATTGCTGGATAGGCAATCTGAGCCACACCTCTAGACCATCTTTTTGCTAGTTATTTTGGAGATGGAGTCTCATGGACTTTTCTGCCCAAGCTAGCCTTGAACCTTGAAGTCTCCTGAGTAGCTAGGATGGTGCCACCAAGACCATCTATTTTTTAATAAATAAAAATATAAGAACAGTTTCAGACTGTGTGTGTGTGTGTGTGTGTGTGTGTGTGTGTGTGTGTGTTCGGGGGTTATTTCTTAGTTTTTCTCCACTCTGGATACCTAAATCTTGTAGTTTATTTGTGTGTTCCTCATGGGTTAAGTAGGTGTTTTATAAAGACATCTAAAATATTACAAGCAACCATATATGGTACATATTGTGCCCCCCTCCTCCTCCATCCCCCTTCGTTCTTGTCTAGGAACTACTTGTGATAACCTTAAGCCTGGTTGTTGAGGGAGTGTAGCTCTAGTTTGGTCTAGATCCTCCTCTCTGGCTCCCACAGTGTACTTACTAAGCCCTGGGCATCACTTATCCATTTGCTTAAATTGTAGCCTTTGATTTGGAGGATGGGTTTCTCAACAGCATATGCTGGAGATGGTTGTAGCTCAGACTCTCCCTTGAGCATCTTTCATCCACATGCTCAGCAATCTCCTACAGAGTGTGCAGTTGGAGCATGATACCCGTTTGGTGGATTTCTGCTTTCTTGACTAGAAATTTGGAAACTATGGTTCTTCCTGTGCTCTATCATTTACCATTCTCCATCAGTGTTGTTCAGGCCTGCTACAGGGGGCTCACAACCTGGCAAAGAGTGTTGGGTAAGAGGAGGATACAGGAAAGGTTGCAGCTAACTTTCATCATGGGGAGATGTCTAACTGGATAAGGGAGAAAAGATATTCATGACCCTGAAAGTATAGCCATAGTGTTGCAGGGCTAGACAAATAGAAATTGTGTGTGTTTGTAGGATGGCGGGAAGGACTTAGCGATCACACCATCTGTGGATGGATAAGCTTGGATAGGGCTGAGGAGTGGGGAGCCAGGTTTGATGTCCCCACCTGCTGTGTGCATCTGACTTCATGCTAAGGCAGTGGGTACTAGGGTAGAAGCAAACTGTGGAACAGGATAAAGTAGTACAGGCTTGCTTTTAAAGCCTCTTGGGGGGATGTGAGGAATGGTTTGCAAACTTAATTCTTCAGATGGAGGAATTAGGTCAAGTGGAGGAATTAGGTACTGTGTAATTTGGATTCCAGTGTCATGGCTATAAGACTACTCCATCAATAGCATATGCACCTGGAAATACCAAAATTGATGAGGGCAGCATGGGCTGTGGCTTCTGAGATTGGCTGCCTAGTGCTCTAGGGAGCTTCTTCCCTGTTTTAGTTAAACATCTTTTTAGTAACTGATGTGCGTCTGCTTTAGATGACTGTGTACAACTTCAAATGACAGAGGTATTTCCTTAGTAGAAAAAATAATTCAGGAGCAAGCTTGGTGTTTGCTGCATTGGGTTCTGAGTCAGAATCCAGCCATATACCTACCATGGCATGAACACTTGGCCAGGTTCATTAGCTGAGTGACTTAGCACAAAATTGGATCCATAGGCCTTGGGATAAGCCACAGGTGGGTGAAATCCCAGCACTTACTAACCCTCAGACCCTAGACAATTGCTTTTAGCTATCTCCAGCTTTGGTTTCCTCATCTGGAAAAATGAGTTAATAACTTCGTAGCGAGAATCAGATGAGTTAATGTGAATGAAATTTATGGCATAATATTTAACTCACAGTTAGCTCTGTGTAAATAGTAAATCCATTGACCTTTGCCTTTCTTAACATCTCAGAACTGGGTTTTGTAATCTGTAAAACAGCATCAACAACCTTCTTACCAGGTGGTGGATATTAGTAAATACTCATCACTTTGCCAGCACCGTCACTTAGCTTTATTGTGAATTCTAGTAAAAAGAAAATTAGATTTCTAGTATGCCTGAAAAAAGTGCCTGATCTGTGTGCGGTTGACTGGTTGTTTTTGTTTGTTTGTATTGTTTTCCAATCGTGAGGCTTGAACTCAGGGCCTGGGTGCTGTCCCTGAGCCTCCTTGTGCTCAAGGCTAGTGCTCTACCACAATAGCCTCTTTCCGTCTCTTTCTGTGTAGTTTATTGGAGATAAGAGTCTCACGGACTTTCCTGCCCAGGCTAGCTTTGAACTGCAATCCTCAGATCTCAGCTTCCTGAGTAGCTAGGATTACAGGCATGATCCTCTGGCGTCCAGTTTAGCTGATTGTTTTAATCCCGAATCTGGCTTTGAGTGTAGATGATCCTGGGCTGCCAGCATTCCCAAAATGGTAGATTGGAAGATCCTTTACAGAGTTAAATTATTCTGATTTCTATATTGACAAGATGAATGTTGTTATTTTAGGCTATTTGCTAGCCATTTCCAGGTGTGTAAAGTATAAAAGACTTGCAGATGAGAAGGAAAGATTAAAAAGTTTTCATTCAGTGGCGATAATCAACTGAAACTGACAAGAGACAAGATTGAAAATTAGTGATTTTTTTTTTTTAAATCACAGCCAGAGAGGTTAGTCTGATTGTATGGCCCTTGCTCCTGTTGGTCAATCATTTGAGAATAGATTCAGAGGTTTGCATCTCCCAGAGCTCTATATTTTTTGTGAGTTTTCTCATATGGCGTCAGAGGACACCTGCAGAAAGCCAGGTGTTGTAGGCCAGAGAGATGATCTCACCTGGCAGGGATCACGCTGGAACTTTGTGTAGCTCCAGGAACAACATTCAGATACTGCTTTTCCAGGAGAGTTTGCTTTCCTCAGGGAGTAGCTCTTTAATTTCTGCTACTTTAGAATAAAGCTAAATCCAGATAGGGATGGCTTGCGCCTATAATCCTAATTACTCAAAAGGCTGAGATCTAATGATCTTGGTTCTAAGCTAGCCAGGGCACATAATCCGAGAGACATCTCCAGTTAACCAGCAAAAAGCTGCAAGTAGAGCTGTGGCTCGAATGGAGAGTGCCAGCTTTTGGAGAGAGGTGGATTAGCCATAGAACAAGGCCTTGCATTCTAGCCCCAGTAAAGGGGTGCTAGAATGCATACACATTCATACACACAGAATAAAAGTAGGAGATAGATTAAAAAGTCATTTGTCCCTGTAGCTTGGTATAAGCCTAAGCCAGAATGTTAGGGTCATTGAGACTTGATTGGAGAGACATAGTCTCCGTTGATTGGAGTGATCTCGACTCCATGAGGTTGAAGTCTTTCTAATGACTTTTTCTGGAGCATGATGATAAACTGGTCCATTTGTTCCTTCTTAGTCCCTCCACTGGTCCCTGGGGATTTGTACTGTCAGAAGTTTCCCCAGTGGGTGTTTCAGAGAGTTTTCCTCAGCCAGGCTCTGCTGACACAACACCATTTTACTTCTTCTGCTAGAGTAGTCCTAACAGGTGAGGTTTTTGTACTTTATTCTCATAAACAGTGGAGAAAGGCATTTCAAATAGTACAAAGAGAAGAAGGGCTTTTGTTTAGGAATGAGTTCCTTCCTGGGAGGCAGAATCATGATTTACCATATAGTAATAACTTGGTTTGGGCAGTTTAGACTTAAAAGCAAAATGAAGCCAGGTGCTGGTGGTATATGCCTATAATCTAGCTAGCTATTCAGGAAGTTGAGATCTGAGGATTGCAGTTCAAAGCCAGCATGGGCAGAAAAGTTGGTGAGACTCTTCAATTGGAACTAGGGGTGTGGCCCAAGTGGTAGAGTACCAGCCTTGAGTGAAAAAGCTTAAGGGCGAGAGAGCCTTCTGGCCCTGAGTTCAAACCCCAGTACTGGCACACACACAAAAACCCAAAACAAAACCACCACCAACAAAAGCAAACTTTGTCTGGAGACTTTGTCATCATGGGCAGCAAGCACATGAACACGCACACATATTGGTAGCTGCCCTCCAGACTGTCCTCTTGTGCTGATGACATTGTCTCCTTTTGTGTTTTGCCCCTGATAGCACATTTTCAAGTTTCTCTAGCACAGCGGGTGGGCCTTTGTTTTGTGTTGTACAGACTGAGCCATTTCCCATTCAGACCTTTCATATTTCTTTGCTCTGTTGCTAAAACAATCTTTCATAAGGAGTGGCTTGATACCTTTTGAGAACCTGCCACATTTGGTTCATGTAGTAATTTGGGCAATATTGCCAGTGAGCCAGTTAGTAATGAGGTCCCTATCCTCATGAGGTCCCTTTCCTCTTCACTACATTCAGAAAACAGAAGTTTTAATTTGAGTGTAGTCTCTAATTACTCAACATGTGATTTTTGTCTTTTGCAGGTACAAGATTATCATGGACATAAGATTTGTGACCCCTATGCTTGGCTTGAAGACCCAGACAGCGAACAGACAAAGGTAATTTTGGCACATAATTAAAATGACCTTAGTACCCAGCACCAAACTCTAGATGTCACTAACTGTAGTTTTTCCTTCCCGGTATTGTCCTATGTTTTCTGCAATGGGATGGTACCAACTCCAACCATCCTATATATAAGAACACATGTACCATTTCCAATATGGACACCATTCCAGAAATCTGAGCATCTTTAAAATCTGAGGATATATTTCTCATTTGAAAAGGAAAACTGGTCAAATGCTCTGTGGGTTGCTAGTTTTCCAGGCTAGTAGTGACCCAGCTCCTTTGTATCTTGTGGGCCTTCTCCACTATGTTACTACATCCTGCTCTTCCCTAGAAAGCTGGATTCAGATTTCTAGAGCCACTCAGAGTTGCCAGAAAGCCTCCCTTCCTGAGATGCTCCTGGCTCATGGAATTGGGATCTCACCTTCTTATCAAGGAGACGAGTTGGGGGAAGAACTTAGTTGGAGCATGGTGGTTGGTGGCCAAGGTGACAGTAAAGACAAATCAGGTCACTCCTATTATAGTAAATCCCATGGTATGTGCCTTTTTCCCTCAATGCCAGGTCCAGACTGGCCTGATTGCCTTTTTACATCCACTTGTTCTTTGTGACTACAGTCTCTAATCTGTCTACTGCATGAGTTTTGTTGTTTGTTTGTTACAACTAACTACCCTCAGTAAGAGGTCTCCTCTTAGGTTTAATTTTTATTCTAAGACATACTGAATCAGAGGTGGATGAGTAGAAATTCCAAGCAAAGATTAGATGAGTGTCTTTGGGAGTATTGAGGATTCTGGCTCTGCTGATGAGGGGAGGAGCATCAGAGAGCAGGTTTAGCTGTTGTTTGCTTGACCCCTCTAAGCCACAGGTGACCCTGATGATCCTGTATTGGGCTGTGCTGACAGAGAGGTGGAACCTAGGAGTAAGATTCACAAACAGCTGTGAAACTTGTGGACAGGAAGCACCAGGGAAGAAAATAACTTCCTAGCTGAGTACCTGTTATTACTCACACCTGTTAATCCTAGCAACTCAGGAGGCTGAGATCTGAGGATCACAGTTCAAAGCCAGCCAGAGCAGGAAAGTCCATGAGATCCTTGTCTCCAATCATCCACCATAAGTTGGAAGTGGAGTTGTAGCTCAAGTGGTAGAGCTCTAGCCTTGAGGGAAAAATCTAAAGGATAGCACCCCAGGCCCCACAAGCATTTTCAGCTTGTCCTTTAGAACTTGAAGAAGTAAAAGTATAGAACTAGAGTGTGACTGTACCCTAACACAAGCTTCTGTGCTGCCTCCATTCACATTAATGTGCATGTGATTATGTTTTTTACACTATCTTCCTGAATTTCCCTTTGGTAAGTGTACTTACTTCTTCTGGATAACCAGCAACTCCCATACTTTACACTTTGCCTTTGGCTCTTTCCAACTGTTTTTTCCCTTTTACTGGGTCTCCTGGCTTCTGTGGTGTGCCTTGTTCAGATTTTATATTATTAGGGACCATCTGTCTCTCATATAAGCCACTGTTTGATACTCCTTTGTGAAATTGCAACCTTCTTCCCTTCATAGTCCCAGTAACACGTGCTATCATTGTAAAGACAAACTGACTCAGGATGGCTTAGGTTTTTTTGGTTTTGGTTGTGGTGTGTGTGTTGTGTTTTTTTTTTATGACACTTTTAGTGTTAAAGCAAGTGCATAGTTGGAATTTTGAATGGTGCATGTTATCCTTTTCCCTGAGCTAGCCATGTATGGTGTGGGACACTCCTGCAATGCTGTTAATGACAGCTAACCACAGCTCCTACTCAGCCACATCATCAGAATTCTACAGTGTGTGGTTCTGCTCAGCTCAGATGTAGGTTAGGTGTATTAAAAGTAGTCTTCAATTAATGCTCTTTAAACTTAGGATGGGTTTCTCAGGATATAAGTACCAACATAAGTCAAGGTGCTTCTGTAAGCTATTCTTTTTTGATATCAGTGGTAGTCTACTTAACAAGTCCAGTGACTTCCAGAAATCCATGTATCATGTCCATGGGAAGCTAGGGAGGCGTGAGCATCCTCCAGAAGGGACTCTTGGAATTCTGCCTCTGCCCTGCAATGACTGTCAGGCTGTTGAGTTTGTCTCCATGGCATTCAGCATCCCGGCAGCGTCTCAGATCACTGGAGTAGGAAATCAGTGTTTACTCACTGACCTCCTTACCCATGAGCTGTCAGTTAAGCCACATTGCAGCCTTAGCTTCCCTTCTGTTAGTGATAAACTCTTAACATCTCATTTTGCAACTCCAAGGTTCAGATAGAAGTAGTGTCCTTGTAGCTTCCATCTTCCTGTCTTACCTGACCTCACAATGCCTTCAACCTCCTCACCAAGTATTCCAGGAGTTGTTACTAAGATGCTGAAGTTGCTATACATAGGGAAAGGAAGCATTTACACCTCTGGGGATTCTTATCTTGAAGTATATCTCACTGAAACTCTGGGGATTCTTATCTTGAAGTATATCTCACTGAAACTCTGGGGTTTGGATGTAGATTATGAACTGCATAGAGCTCCTGACTTTATATTTTTTTTCCCTTGAGAGCTGCCCTTAGCAAAATGAAAATATTTCCTTATTTAATTCTGAGGGAACTCCTAACCAACATCAGAAAAAAAAACCAAATACATGTAGAGTCCTTCCTTCTAAAACAAGAAAGATAGTTTTATCATTTTATCAGAGAGGATCAAAGGAAGCTACACCATAGATCTTTCTTAGGCATTGTGTGTCTCTTTTTCCATCTTCCCACTTCCTGGGTGACAAGGTAGCCTCATTCCACGTGTTGGTGAGTGGCTATGAGAACACGGATGTCCTTGAATCTTGCCAAGTGAGTGAGCAACCTGGTAATGTCATTTCTTCTTCCCCTGTTCAACAATGTTTCTTTCCTTGGTAAGAAAGGTTGATATCTTAAAGGATGTAAAATCGTATATATTTGTGTGTGTGTGTGTGTGTGTGTGTGTGTGTGTGTGTGTGTGTGTGTGTGCGCGTGCGCACACGCGTGCGCGCGTGCCTGTGCCTGTATCTGTATCTGCTGGTCCTGGGGCTTGAACTCAGGGCCTAGGCATTGTCCTTGAGCTTTTTATGCTTAAGGATAGCACTCTCCCACTTGAGCTGCAGCTCCACTTCTGGTTTTATGGTGGTTTGGAGATAAGAGTCTCGGGCTTTCCTGCTTGGGCTGGCTTTGAACCATGGTCTTCAGATCTCAGCCTTTTGAGTAGCTAGGATTACAGGAGTGAGCCACCAGCGCCTAGCTCTATGTCGATATTTTGGCACATCAGAGAGGTTAGTGGAGCTCAAAACTTAAGGAAGATAAGCTCCTGCTTTTCCAGGTTGCTGTCCTTGTCTATGCTGAAGAAATCAGTTTTCTATTTGCTTGCGTCTTTGCTCTTTGTTCTTGAAGGTTAATTCTAAAAGGAGTAAAACTCAGCATGTGACAGGTTCTGCTCAGTTTTTGGTTTGAATCTGGCCTGCATCTCCTGGAGCCAGTGCCATCTCTAGCATCGGTCCAGAGCCCTCTGTGGAGGAGGTAGTGGAGAGCTAGGTGAGCAGCTATGTGTGACTGCCTCTCCCTGCCAGGCCACTGTGCTGTCAGGCTAGAAGAGAGTAGTGAACTGGAAGCCTGCTCCCAGGAATATCAACGATGTGGAGGGCTAGTTAGCCAGCACATAGCCATGAGAGCTTACTGTTGGAGCTGAAGCACATTGGAAATCAAAGCTGTAAAAGGTTGTTCTGACCTTTCTGCATACTTTGAAGATGTCGAGACAAACTGGAAATATTGTCTTTGTGAATCACCCTATGAGTTTCTGATGTGGATTAATGGGTTATTTGCAGATGAGACCAGAAGTGAGAAGATACAATTTGCAACCCTTGGTCTTTTCTTTTTCTGTAACCATAAGAAGTTACATGTTCTTTGTTTCATATTCTCTATCTGAGAAGAGTAAAATTTGAATATAATAGCTCATGCATGTAATCTAGCTAATCAGGAGGAGAGATTAGAAGGATTCCATTTTTTTTTTTTTTTTTTTTTTTTGGCCAACTCAGATCAAGAGTTATCAAGATATCATTCCAACTAACAAGCCAGGTCTGGAAGGTCCATACCTGTAATTCCTGCTGTTTGAGAGCTAGTGGTAGATGAATGGTATAAGACCAACTCTAGCCAAAAGTGAGACCCTATATTAAAAATAAGTAAAAGCAAAAAGGACTGGGGGTGTGGCTCAAGTGGTAGAGCTCTGCCTAAACTTCATACCCCAGTTCAGAAAAAAAAAAAAAAAGTTCATTCATGTAGCTGCAAAGTGTATGACACTCAAGGAAAACATGTTACATAAGTTCGTTTTGCTTATACAGCAAGTAAGTGAAGATGGTGCCATTTGCACACTTTCTGTAACTGTATTGGGACACAGATGTTCTGTCTCTATACCCCTAGTTACTTAGAATGTTGAACTTTTTTTTTTAATATTTTGGTGCCAGTACTAGGGTACTAGGGCCAAGGCCCCAACACAGGCCTGAGCCACTAGTACCTGGCTAGAGCATTGAACTTTAAGATTCTATTTCATCCATAAAACTTGGCCAAGTTTCCTTTTGAATTGTAGAGAAAGAAAGGAAAGAAAGGAAGGAAGGAAGGAAGGACATTCTCAGCCTTGTCCTTTTAGTGGAGCTCTGAGTTGTAAATGTAGTTTCAATGTTTCAGAGCTTGACGATTAAACTGGGTCATAGTGTCAAAGATTACTTAATGACTTCCTTCCCTCCCTCCCTCCTCCCTTCCTTTCTTTCTTTCTTCCCTCCCTCCCTCCCTCCCTCCCTCCTTCCCTCCCTCCCTCTCTCCCTCCTCCCTCCCTCTCTCCCTTCTTCCTTCCTTCCTTCCTTCCTTCTTTCCTGCCTGCCTGCCTGCCTTCCTTCCTTCCTTCCTTCCTTCCTTCCTTCCTTCCTTCCTTCCTTCCTTCCTTCCTTCCTTCCTTCCTTCCACTTAGGGTTGCCGCGCTATCCC